ACATAATGTTTTTGAGTCGACGTGTACTATTGGTGATCGCCTGTGCCAGTTCATTATTAATTTCGGGTCATGCGAGAATGTCTTTGCTAAGGACGTAGTGGAGAAGCTTGGCCTTTCGCCAGAACCTTATGCACAACCATATATTCTTGCATGGATCCAAAAAGGCATGACAGTCGCTATGGACCGTCGCATGTTGATTTCTTTCTCCATTGGACCGAGGTATCAGGATCAGATTTGGTGTGTTGTTATACCAATGGATGTTTGTCATATTCTTTTGGGACGTTCTTGGCAGTTTTTATGGCTCTTCATCCTGAGTATGAGGCTGTTCTTGCTTCTTTCTTACACCGTCATCCACTACCTCTTGATGCTGCTATTCAAGAGATCGCTTTTGAGGAGACTCGTCTTCAGTTGGCTAGGACACCACATCTTGAGTCTGCATTAGCTGTGCCTACTTGTACTTCCGCTCCATCGCATCAACCTCAGCCACCAGTCCCTGTTTATTGTAGGATTTGCAAGAGCTCTACTCATCCTTTTGTCACTTGTTCTAAAGTAGAGTGTCACATTTGTCATGCTCGGGGACATATTGCTCCAAATTGTCTAGCCAAGCCACAACGTTCGGTAGGTTCATTTTCTCGATTTCGTGGTTCTCATAGCTCTTCTTCATCGACCCCTTCTTCGATTACAACGACTGTCACTAATGAGCCTCAACACTCGTCTTACACTCTTCAAGACATAGAAGCTATTCTCAAACAGGTTATCCATTCCAATTTTGCTATGTCTGCTACAGCATGTAACCCTCATTGGTAATTTGATTCTGGCTGTTGCAATCACATGACCTCTAGTCCACAGTTATTGTATTCCTCGTCTTCCATAACTTTTTTATCTCCTATACATACTGCCAATGATACCCCTTTGAATATTACTCACACTGGTCTGGTTTCTTCCCCTTCTTTACACTTTCCTGACACATACTCCTGATTTGGCCTTGAATTTTATTTCTGTTGGTCAATTGGTTGAACAAGTTCTTAATGTTATATTTTCTTCTTCTGGTGTTCAGGTTCAAGATACAAAGACGAGTCGGCTTCTCAGGACGGTCGCAAGATGGGTCAGTTATTTGAGCTTGAGTCTCTTCATATCCCTTGTTCTTCATCATTTTCTGCTCTTGTCACCGATAATAAGTCCAGTTTTTAGTGGCATCTTCATCTTGAGCATGCGTCTTCAAATAAAGTTCGTTCTTTATATAATAAAGGTTTTTTAGGTCCAGGTCATTTTGAGTCTTTTAATTGTCTTCATTGTAAGCTTGGGAAACACTCGGTGTAAGTTCTGAAGATTGGCAGTAAATTGATGAACCTTTTGGCGTTCACAGACTTCAGAATATTCGCGAAAATATTTAAGGAAAGTTGTTTTTAATTTGATTGATAACTCTTTTTTAATTATTATTCATTATTAATAAGTGTGTTTATTATGGCAGGTCCATTGGGATGAACTCGGGATTCACCTTCCTTAAAACGCAAGAGAAAAGATTGCGGCCTTGAATAGAAGAGACTTTCATTATGTGATAATAACTTGGACGCAAAGAAAAAGAGAGACTTACCAATTGATGCTCGAGGATAAAAGGAGAACTATAAGCATGTAGAGGACGACTTTTGCATCTTTGATTATTATTTTTATTTTGAGTATTCCATGTTTATCGAGTGAAGTGGGATTTTATATATACATTATTTTGTGAGTCTGTAACAGAGTGTTCGGAGGTTCATTTTTGAAATAGTTTGAGGGATTCAAAGTATAAAATCCACAAGGGAGTTGTGGTCAGATAAGTAGTTGTTTGAATCTGATATATGATATTATACTACACCCAGTTTAATGGAGAAAGCGAATACATATTGGAGGATAAGCTCACTAAGACATCTAAGTATAACGATATGGGCCAAGCCCAACTTGGGCCCAAAAGGTACACTCCCCCTATAAAAGGGGGCCAAGGTATCTCATTCTCTCTATTCTCTATTCATTCCATACTACACTCTCTCTCTTGATCTGAGCACTGACTTAGGCATCGGAGGCCCGACGCCGGGGCCGCCCCCAGCGTTGGGTTCTGCATGTACGGAGGCCGTTCGAGTTGAAGGAGTCGGGTGAAATTCATTACACTCGTATTATTGGCGCCGTATGTGGGACCCGTAAAAAAATTAAGCGGAGTTCCGACTGAAAAAATTAAAAAAACCTCCTTCTTCTCCACTGGCCGCCGCCACCTCCGGCCGCCGGCTGCCGAAAAACATGCTCCCGGCTGCCGAAAAACATGCTCCAATCGGAAAATCGTTTGCATCATTAGAAAGATCCCTTCGAGGTGAATCTCTCCATAAAATTTCATGCAAAAATTCCTCCGGGAAGGTCGTCAATTTGGCGGTTAAAGTTTCCAGATCTAGTAAAATTTTGGTCAAAATTGAGCATTCAAACCCATTTTCTAGGCGATCCGTGAGGGCTATGAAAAATCCGAGGGTACCACCGGAATTCTCTCGACAAGGTGAATCTCCAGATGCTGACCTATCCCGCACGCCGTCGCCTCCGTCGTCGGCCGCCGTCCAAAGTTTTCCGATCGGAAAAACTCTTACACCATCGCGAAGCTCTCGTCGTGCTCGTTCTAACATTAGAATATCAAGTAAATTTTTTTTTTTCAAGAGGGTCATTAATTTTGCGGTCAAAATATTTGGATCTAGAGTGTTTTTGGTCAACACCGGCCATCTTCTTCAATTTTTCCGTCGACTTCCGGCGACTTGCACTTAGCC